ATGGGTATTTGGGTTGGTTCCAGGTCTTTGCTATTGTAAACTGTGGTGCAATGAACATTTGTGTGCATGTGTCCTTATAGTAGAACAATTTATAATCCTTTGGATATATACCCAGTAATGGAATTGCTGGGTCAAATGGAATTTCTATTTATAAGTCCTTGAGGAATTTGTCACACTGTCTTCCGCAATGATTGAACTAGTTTACACTCTCACCAACAGTGTAAATGTGTTCCTATTTCGCCACATCGTCTCCAGTATCTGTTGTCTCCAGATTTTTTAATGGTCACCATTCTAACTGGTATGAGATGGTATCTCAATGTAGTTTTGATTTGCATTCCTCTAATGACCAGTGATGATGAGCATTTTTTCATATGTTTGTTGGCCTCATGTATGTCTTCTTTTGTAAAGTGTCTGTTCATATCTTTGCCCACTTTTGAATTGGCTTATTTGTTTTTTTCTTGTAAATCTGTTTTAATTCTTTGTAGATTCTGGATATTAGCCCTTTGTCAGATGGGTAAACTGCAAAAATTTTTTCCCATTCTGTTGGTTGACGATTCCTCTAATGACTGTTTCTTTTGCCGTGCAGAAGCTGTGGAGTTTGATTAGGTCCCATTTGTCTATTTTTGCTTTTGTTGCCAATGCTTTTGGTGTTTTGGTCATGAATTCCTTGCCTACACCTATGCCCAGAATGGTTTGCCTAGATTTTCTTAAAGCCGAATTTAAAACTGCTAGGGTAAAGGTTATAGATTCTCCATGATCCAGTGGGGCTCACGAATGTGATTTTAATTGATTGCCAACAATAAAAACTCAGGCTCTTACATAAAGATGTAGATTTCTGACTTCAACTGAAAAACAAAACTCTGAAAAGCATCAGCTAGGACTGAGTTGTTGGTACCCCCTTTAGGCAGAGCCTGCCATCTCTAGCTCTTCAGAATCCCCACGATTCCTGCTTTCTGGCACACAGCCTGCTTCTCTTATTTTCATGGCTTTCCTGGTCCCGTGAACATCTGAGTTTGCAAATAGCTCTAGACCGCTTATGGATAGGGCTTTGTTGGAATAGAGCCAGAATTACCCTGTATACTTTTTATATTTTTTTACAAAGAACAAGTATTTAGTTTATAAGAAAAAAAAGCAAAAGGTCTAACTTGGAATGTAATAAATACAATTTTGAAATTAATTAATTAATAATGGCTTTACAAAAAGAGTGAAATGTATGGCATTTAATATAGGTCACAAGGCAGTGACTCAGTTTAGAATATAATACAATCTACTATTGTCCCATGATAAAAGTCTACTAAAGTTGTAACTTAGCCACAACTGGGTCAGTTATTATAAAGTATTATTAACAATCATTGTTAAAATTAAAGTAATAAAATTTAAGTTCTTCTTAGAATTAAATTATTAAAAATGTTAAAAAGCGTTGGTTTAGGTATTTGACATTTTCTCATGTTTTACTCTTTTTTTAATAATTAAAAAATAGCACTTATCGGCCGGGCGCGGTGGCTCAAGCCTGTAATCCCAGCACTTTGGGAGGCCGAGGCGGGTGGATCACGAGGTCAGCAGATCGGGACCATCCTGGTCAACATGGTGAAACCCCGTCTCTACTAAAAATACAAAAAATTAGCTGGGCACAGTGGTGCGTGCCTGTAATCCCAGCTACTCGGGAGGCTGAGGCAGGAGAATTGCCTGAACCCAGGAGGCGGAGGTTGCGGTGAGCCGAGATTGCGCCATTGCACTCCAGCCTGGGTAACAAGAGCGAAACTCCGTCTCAAAAAAAAAAAAAAAAAATAGCACTTATCAAGCACTATGGGGTCTTGTCCACCAATAAGCATTAACCTAAGAGAAATTGTCTACTAGGTCAGGTACCATATATACATAGCTGAAGGTTCCCCAGTCCAACCTATAAGAGAACAGCAATCTGTTGTTTTCTTAAAACAGAGTCACTTGCTTGTCTCCCTTCCCTATCTTCCTTGGAAACACGTGTGTTACTGAATTAAAATTGAGATGAATTGATGATGAGGTGTGAATGGTAGTAAAAGGAAGCTGTCAAACACCAGGCTAAGATTTCACTCGTGCAATAGAGTGTGACATTGTAAAAGCTCCACTTCCTTTTAAATTGTTGGAACAGCAGGGAGAGAACTGGCCATTGTCTTCTGTTTGCTGTTCCAGTGTCTCATATGTGCCGACATGGAGAGCAGGGCCCTGTTTAAGGTGCTCTGTCACAGCCATTTGAGTCCAGGGCCCTGAGTGCTCCCCACAGTGTGTTTCCTCCTCAGCTTATAAGAATGTATACACTAACAAACAGATTAAAAACTACTCCACATTTTATATCTGGGGAGAATAGTTGACTTTCAATACTCAGCCTAAGCTATTTTTACCAGATACCATGTTTATTTTTATTTTTTATTTTCTATTTTTTCTTTTTCTTTGATATTTAAAGAAGTTTTATAGATTTATTTAAATCTCAACTTTTATTTTAGATGCAGAAGGTACATGTATGTACAGGCTTGTTACATGAGTATATTGCATGATGCTGAGGTGTGTGCTAAGGTTTGGGATACAAATGATCCTGTCACACAAATAATGAACATATTACCCAGCAGTTAGTTTTTCAAGCCTTGTCCCTGACTCCCTCTCCCCACTCTGTTAGTCCCTAGTGTCCATCGTTGTCGTACTTAGGTCCATGAATACCCAATGTTTAGCTCCCACTTATAAATAAGAATGTGTGGTATTTGGTTTTCTGTTCCTACATTAATTTGCTTAGGATAATGGCCTCCAGCATCCATGTTGCTGCAAAGGACATGATTTCATTCTTTTTTATGGCTGCCTAGTATTCCATGTTATATACATACCATATTTTCTTTATCCAGTCTACCACTGATGGGCACTTAGGTTGATTTCATGTCTTTGCTATTGTGAATAATATACAAGTGCATGTCACACACCTTTTGATGAAAAAAAAACATAAGTCATTTGAACTAGATCCATAATCCATTATCTGAGATTCTTGGGGCCCATTGTTCTTCAGAATTCTTACATTTTCTGATTTTAGAAAGGCAATGCGATGCATATGCCATGAGCACAATACTCCAGGGAGACCTGAGTCATCCTCAAAGTCAAGCAAATGAATATGTCTGCAGTTTAGTGCACAAATAGTCATATGATGGGGATATATGAAATTATACATATTTCATGTATCATTATCATCCAAACATCAGTTCGCGTCAATGAGTTTACACAGAGTTGCAAGAAAAAAGAAAACTTCTGGATTTCAAAACTTTGGGATAGATAAGGTTTTACTTAATATAAATTAAATAATTTAGTATTGTCAAAATTTATCTGGCACAGAAGCAAGAGTGAAAGGAGTTGAACTAAAGAGGAAGCTGCTGACACTGTCCGGAAAGAGGTTAAGACTCAGAAAGACAGATGCCCTGGGGACCGGCTTCACCCTGGCGTTCCAGAAACAGACCGAGCCCCAGAATTTGCCCTGAAAGATGCAGGATGCACAGCCAGGATCAAGACAAAAAGTAGAACTGGGGTCTGAGGGTAGAACCCAGACAGGGAGCTATCAGAGTGGCCAAAGCAGATCAACCACCTTGGCATCCCCCAAGAGCTGCTGAGAAATGCAGGAGCTCGGGCCCCAAACTGGCCTCCTGAGTCAGACGGAATCAAGGTCAAAATTCCAGGTGATTTGTGTGCACCTTAAAGTTTGAAAAGCAGGAGGAAAAAAAATCCAGATTTTAAGGCCGTATCTCAAAAGTTGCCTCAAAGCTAATAAGGGTGTGTGGGGGCAAGCATTTAGCCTTGCATGGGGTTTCAAGGATTATGCTCCCTGGGTACCAATTGATAAGCAGAGAGAATTTATTTAAAATTCAAGGTTTTTGCTTGGGCTCAGCACAGTGCAGCTCCCTAGCAGACAACTCTCCCTGCTGCCCACCTTCTCTCCCCATCTACCAGAGAATGGCAGGCTTTGTACTATTTTATAAATGAGACATCCATGTAAGTCTCCATTTAAAGAAAGAGTTCCAAGGACTTTAAACCGTCTGAAAATTCTCCAGGGCATAAAATAGACACATTAAAAGACAGTTTAAAGGGTAGCTAAAATAGTTTACAAGGCAAATAAAAATTAGAATGAAAAATGAATCAAAATAAAGAGGTGGTGAAAGAAGTCAAAATAAGACTGAAGCTGCACATCCCAAAGCCCACGCCACACTTGTCTGTCTCCTCTGCTTCTTAGTTAGCTTCCCCTAGCCAGGTTCATGGCTGACCTTGACACGCTCACCCATCAATGGTTCTCAACCCCTAAATGTAAAAATTTCAGATCATTTAATATTAGTTCTGACACCTTTTTCTCTTTTACTTTTTATCTTTTCTTTTCTTTTTTTTTTTTTTTTAGACAGAGTCTCACTCTGTCACCCAGACTGAGGTGCAGTGGTGCGATCTCGGCTCACTGCAACCCCTGCCTCCTGGATTCAAGGGATTCTCCTGCCTCAGCCTCCTGAGCAGCTGGAATTGCAAATGCCTGCCACCATGCCCAGCTAATTTTTCCATTAAGTAGAGACGGGGTTTCACCATGTTGGCCAGGCTGGTCTCGAACTCCTGACCTCAAGCAATCCACCTGCCTCTCCCTTCCAAAGTGCTGGGATTACAGGTGTGAGCCACCATGCCCTGCCTCTGACACCGTTTTTCAAAAGACCCACGTGTGTGTGTGTGTGTGTGTGTGCATGTGCACGCGCACGTGGGCATTTGTAGATACATTCATCTTATTCCAAGTCTTTAGCCTTATTGTGCCACACATAACTTGAACTTGACTTTCAGCTACAGACAAATGATGTGTCCAGCTAAACTTTGTTACATCTCCTCTATAGATGACCAGTGAATGATATTTTAACTTCATGTATTCATCGCCCCCTTTGTACATCTCTTTCGGAGAGTTTCTATGGGGGTGGGTATAGAAACATAAACAACTTCAAGTCATCTCCTTACTTGATGTCTCCCAGCTGCAGGTGGAGCTGGAGCAAGAATACCAAGACAAATTCAAAAGACTGCCACTTGAGATTTTGGAATTCGTGCAGGAAGCCATGAAAGGGAAGATCAATGAAGACAGCAATCACGGTTCTGCCCCTCCCTCCCTGTCCTCAGACCCTGGAAAAGTGAACCACAAGACTCCCTCCAGTGAGGAGCTGGGAGGAGACATCCCAGGAAAAGAATTTGATACTCCTCTGTGAATGCTCCTGCCAGGCCTTCAGAAATTTGCATGGCCACTCCAGTGTCATCAGACTCTCTCTTATTACAAAAATCACTGCCCAGGACCATCTTCCCAAGAAGCATCCCTTAGCCTAAAATCCACACCAAAGGGAGAGTTCCAGAGGAATCCATTGCAGAAGTCCCATGCCCAGGCTCCATGTGTCACTTGGAAACCTCTGCAGGTCTACTAGTGAAGAATGCATGTATGTGAGATTTTTGTTTTCTTTCCGGTAGTAAATTCAAAGCAAGCAACTTGCAGGCTCCATGGAACTATTAATGAAGGACGGTGTCTTCTTTGAAGAAAATCGAGCTCATGTTTTTATTCAAAGCTCTGGTGTAAAGTATTTCAAAGTCATAGAAATAGTTTGAGAAATGCATAGCATTATTTAACACTATTGAACAGCTGGCTTTGAGCATTTTTTAAACTGCCCCTCAACTACCATTATCTTCAAGTCAACATGCATATTACATTATTTCATCTTTTGCTTTGCAAGCACTGGTGGCTTGCATTTTGCTAATTTATTTATCATAGAGCCATCAATGTATTTGTTGCTGACATGGTTTTATTAGATACTGTAATGATTCAAATAAGTTTGTTTTTTATTTGGAAAAAAAAATCACTTGATTGTATCCTTATCCAGTGAAGCCATCCCAAGACTTAGCAATATGGATTGTACATTTGGCTGCATGAGCAAGTGGGCCACACATTTCCAGCCAGTGTGCTGTCTGAATTGACTATTTGCACTCAAAGTCTGGGTATTCATTGGTTGTTAGCCTGAAATGATCAAATAACTACAAATGTTCTGTTGAATAAAAATAGTTGAGCTGATATATGTTAACCAGATATTCAATCAGAGTGAACAGGTTCCAGTGGTTATTTTGCTGTTCGACATTTCTTATGGTTCATTTATTTTTAACATAGAGAGGAAGATTGAATATTTATCTAGAGACTACAAAGACCCACATGTAAATGATAGGTATTATCTCCATGTATATATGTACCCACTTAGTCTTGTAAGTACATATACACATACACACACATGAGTGTAGATATGTGCTTATTAATTGACAATGACCCAGATCTCTTCCACAAGACTTAAAACCAAATTCAGGGATAAATGGATAGAGAAGAAAAGGGCCAAACATCTAGATTACATGGATGTTAAGTTATATGGAGATGCTAAGAAATAGTTGATGAAGCCATTGATGCAAACTGATATAGATTTAGAACTTAGAATATGAATTCAATTTATATTTTGCAAGATCAAAAATTAGGTGTTAAGTATCAGATTTTAAGCTTGTTTTAATGGTCAAAAAATTAGTACAGAAATATGGACATTGATTAGAATCTTCCATAATTTTTAAGACTGACACATTTCTATTTTATTCTAACATTAAAAACTTTCATTATATATTTACTTAAGTACATTTAACTCACTTACCTGTCTCTCTGTAAGTTCCTATTTTAGGTGGCATAAGAGAAACAAGTTATGTCAAAAGGCAAAACTGATCAAAAGCATAATTGAAAGTTCTGAGAAAAGAAAGAATAATAATATATAGAAAAATGCAACTTAGAGAGTAACACAATGAACATGGAATTCGAAGCCCAGAAGCCAGAGGCTCACAGCTTTATTTTGCTTTAAAGTAAACCTGTCTGATTGTAGCTTAATGAAATACCTTAAAATGCAAAAACCAGTTGTGTCCTGAAAACTGTTTCAAGAATTTAATATTTTTATGAAAATTATTTTGTTTAACTTTAAGCAATAACTAGAGATCACAATTAAATTTTAATCAAAATGAAGGCTTAGTTCAAACATAAGAAAACAGTGTTTAATTTAAAAAAAAATCTAGTAAGATATAAGTGGAAAATCGCATCCTTTTTGGAAATGATGATATTTTGATCTGAAGGGTTTGGGGTGTTAATTAGACACTTAATAAAACTTAACTTCCACTGAAAAAGAAGTCTTTTGTAAATCGTTCTACTTTTGCACTTTGAAAGAAAGTCATTAATCATAAAGAAGCAAGAATGGTCAAAATCGAATGCTGCATTTTTATAAACAAAATTACAGACTGTCTGAACTTGCAGAAGAATGAACTAACAATAGCATTCATAACCAAACACAATGGTGATTATCACAGAACATTGTATCACATTTTAGTCCAGAGATAGACTAAGGTTGAATAACCTTGACTTACACAAAACTGTTTTGGTAGTTGGATTTCATTATCTTAGTGAATTTAGTCATTTTACAATATGTTTGTATTTGACCATTTACTGTAACCACATTTTTATATCTGTACAATGACACTTTTTGCAGTTGTGGGGTAGTGAGTAACACTTTCCATCTTGCATCATTGAAACTACTACAGTGATACTATCATTTAATAATATTAATATTACTTGAAATAGACTAAGATAAAGAAAAGGGGTCTATATGATGTGCAGTTTTGTGCCTTTATGTATTTGCCTTGTTCTTTGTTGAATGTGTGAAATTCTGTACTGTGGTTTTCCCTATAATAGAGAGTAGAGCTGTATATTAAATTAGACTGTGTCTCTCTGATACCTTTACACTACTGAGACTAGCATGGTTTTGGCCATGTAAACCAATTTTCAAAGTTCTAATGACATGCCATGTGTTTTTGGTTTTTTACATTTCATTTTAAAATTTCAGTATCACCATACATTAATTAATACTCCTGTAGTAGATAAGCAGTCATTAAATAATTCCAAAAGAAAGGGCCATTGCTTGCATTACTTTGAATTCAATGTTGCACTTGTACACTGTATTAATATTGTTTGTGATGGATTGGACATTGTGACTCTTGCCTTTTAAGAAGAAAAAAATGATAGGACAAAGTATTTGAAGCTCTTAAAATGTACATATTTTGGTTCTTCTATCTCAAATTATTTAAAATGCATAATCCACATTTTTGTAATAATTCTATGCAATTTTGTGGCATGATGTTTCTTCCACTTGTAATTTTATGTGCTTTCATCATAAATCCAAAGGAAACAATAAAAATTTCTTAACACAACTCAGTTGTTATTTCCTGGTATCAGAGCCGACCTTCTTTTGACAGGCAAAGTGGTGGGAGTGGGCATAATGCCAGTCTTTAGGGCCATTGTGCCCGCCCTGACGGGGCACATCTGTGCCTGTAATGGATATTGGGATGCTGCAATGTGTGTGCCAGAAAACACAGTTGTCATTGCCGTCATTCCACCACTCTCCATCCAGGGGTAGCATTACACTTGCTGTTGTTTCCGTAATGGAGATCCTCTCTCCCTTTCTCTCTTTCTTCCTTCCTCCCTGTCTTCCTTGACCAAAGCTAAGGAAAGCAGAACAGTCAAAGGTTTTTTCACAAATAGTTGCAATGACAAGAACTGACAGAGCACTTGATGCAAATTTTATTATAAGACAGATTTTAAAAGCGTTTACAATTTTGATAGAATAAGAAATGTGTGTGTGGGTTTTATGTAAATGTTCCAGAGCCACCCCAAATGCAGTGTATGAGTTACTTATTTCTGTCTTATAAATGATTCTAAAATCTAGGAGCTTAACAAAATCAGAATTATCTCTTATCTCATAGCTTTTCCAAAAACAAATAGGTGGCACATAGTAGGTATATATATTATATGTATTTATAGGGTACATGACAGAGATATTTTGATACAGGTATAAATGTGTAATAATCACATTAGGGTAAATGGGGTATCCATCACCTCAAGAATTTATTCTTTTTTGTGTCACAAACAATCCAATTATACTCTTTAAGTTATTTTTAAATCCACAATAAATTATTGTTGACTGCAGTCACCCTGTTGTGCTATCAAACACTAGATATTATTCATTCTAACTATCTTTTTGTTTGTATTAATATCCTCACTCCCTCATTTCCCCAACTACCCTTCTGAGGCTCTGGGAACCATCCTTCTACTCTCTATCTCCATGAGTTCAGCTATTTTTAATTTTATATCCCATGAATAAGTGAGGACATACGAAGTTTGTCTTTCTGTGCCTGGCTTATTTCATTTAATATAATGAGCTACAATTCCACCTATGTTGTTGCAAACACAGGATCTCATTTTTTTTACACTTTAAGTTCTGGGGTGCATGTGCAGGTTTGTTACATTGGTATACACATGCCATGGTGGTTTGCTGCATCCATCACCCCGTCATCTACATTAGGTATTTCTCTTAATGCTATCCCATCCCTAGGCCCCCGACTCTCAACAGGCCCCAGTGTGTGATGTTCCCCTCCCTGTGTCCATGTATTCTCATTGTTCAACACCCACTTATGAATAAGAATACATGGTGTTTGGTTTTCTGTTCTTGTGTCAGTTTGCTGAGAATGATGGTTTCTGGCTTTATCCATGTCCCTGCAAAGGACATGAACTCATCCTTTTTTATGACTGCATAGTATTCCATGCTGTATATGTGCCACATTTTCTTTATCCAGTCTATCATTGATGGGTATTTGCTTGTTTCCAAGTCTTATCTATTGCAAACAGTGCCACAACAAACGTATGTATGCATGTGTCTTTATAATAGAATGATTTATAATCCTTTGGGTATATACCTAGTAATGAGATTGCTGGATCAAATGGTATTTCTAGTTCTAGATCCTTGAGGAATTGCCACAATATCTTCCGCAATGGTTGAACTAATTTACACTCCCACCAACGTGTAAAAGTCTTCCTGTTTTTCTACATCCTCTCCACCATCTGTCGTTTCCCGATTTTTTAATGATCACCATTCTAACTGGCATGAGATGGTATCTCAGTGTTGTTTTGATTTGCATTTCTCTAATGGCAAGTGATGATGAGCTTTTTTTCATATGTTTCTTGAATGCATAAATGTCTTCTTTTGAGAAGTGTCTGTTCACATCCTTTGCCCTCTTTTTGATGTTTTTTTTTTTCTTATAAATTTGTTCAAATTCTTTCTATATTCTGGATAGATTTTTTGTCAGATGGATAGATTGCAAAAAAAAATTTCCCATTTTGTTGGTTGCTGGTTCACTCTAATTATAGTTCATTTTGCTGCACAGAAGCTCTTTAGTTTACTTAGATCCCCTTTGTCTATTTTGGCTTTTGTTACCATTGCTTTTAGTGTTTTAGTCATGAAGTCCTGCCCATGCCTATGACCTGAATAGTATTGCCTAGGTTTTCTTCTAGGGTTTTTATGATGTTAGGTGTTGTGTTTAAATTGTTAATCCATCTGGAGTTAATTTTTGTATAAGGTGTAAGGAAAGGATCCAGTTTTGACTTTCTGCAGATGGCTAGCCAGTTTTACCATCACCATTTATTAAATAGGGAATTCTTTCCCCACTGCTTGTTTTTGTCAGCTTTGTCAAAGATCAGATGGTTGTAGAAGTGTCGTGTTGCTTCCAAGGCCTCTGTTCTGTCCTATTGGTCTATATCCCAGTTTTGGTATGAGTACCATGCTGTTTTAATTACTGTAGCCTTGTAGTATAGTTTGAAGTCACCACCAACCCCACAGAAATACAAACTACCATCAGAGAATACTATAAACACCTCTAGGCAAATAAACCAGTAAACCTAGAAGACATGGATAAATTCATGGACATTTACACCCTCCCAAGATTAAACCAGGAAGAAGTTGAATCCCTGAATAGGCCAATATCTCATTTTTTAATGGTTGAATACTACTCCATTGTGTATATGTTACATTTTCTTTTTCCATTCCTCTGTTGATGGGCACTTAGTTTACTTTCAAATCTTGGATGTGGTGAACAGAGCTGCCACAAACGTGATAGTGCATGTATCTATTCAATGTACTAACTTCTCTTCTTTGGAGTATATGCCCAGAAATGGGATTGCTGGATCATATGGTAGCTCTATTTTTAGTTTTCTGATGAATCTCCAAACTGCTTCATAGTGCTTGCACTAATTTACATTCCCACCAATAGTGTAGAAGGCCTTCCTTTTCTCCTCATCCTCACCAGCATTTATTTTTGCCTGTCTTTAGGATAAAAGCCATCTGATCCTTTTGTAGTTCATGAGCATGACGATTGGGTATTCATGTGCCTGTGTGAGATGCGCCACCTTGAACCTTGTTACAACGTTGGTATATTACCCATCTGACCTGAAAGAAAAAGCCATCTTAACTGAAATAAGATGAAATCTCATTGTAGTTTGATTTGCATTTCTCTGAAAATCAATGATGCTGAGTACATTTTCATGTACTTGTCTGGCCTTTGCATGTCATCTTTCGAAAAAATGTCCACTCAAATTTTTTGTTAATTTTTAAGTTGGATAATTAGGTTTCTTTCCTATAGAGTTGTTTGAACTACTTATATATTCTGGTTATTAATCCCTTGTGAGATGGGAAGTTTTAGAATGTTTTCTCCCACTCTGTGGATTCTCTCTTCACTTTGTTGATTGTTTCCTTTTCTGTGGAGGAGCTTTTTAACCTGCTTGATCCCATTTGACTTTTTTTTGCCTCAGTTGCCTGCACTTTCAGGGTATTACTTACGAAATCTTTTTCCACTCCAATCTCCTGGAGAGTTTCCCCAATATTTTCTCTTAGTAGTTTCATAGTTTCAGGTCTTAGATATAACTGTTTAGTCCATTTTCATTTGATGTTTGTATATGGTCAGAGATACAGGTCAAGTTTTATTCTTCTGCTTATGGATATCCAGTTTTCCCAGCACCATTTATTGAAGAGCCTGTCCTTTCTCTAAGGAGTCCTTGGCACCTTTGTTGAAAACGAACTCACTGTAGATATAGTGATTTATTTCTGGGTTCTCTACTCTGTTTCATTGGTCTATGTGTCTGTTTCTATGCCAGCACCATGCTGTTTGGATTACTATAGTAATAGCCATAGTAATGCGACCTCCCCAGTTTCATTCTTTTTGTTCATGATAGGTTTGGCTATTCTGGGTCTTTTGTGGTTTCATATATATTTTAGGGATTTTTTTTCTATTTCTGTGGAGAATGTTATTGGTATTTTGATAGGGATTGCAACAAATCTGTAGATTGCTTTGGGTAGTATGGACAGTTTAACAATATTTATTCTTCCAATCCATGAGCATGCAATATCTTTCCTTCTTTGTGTGTCCTCCTTAATTTCTTGCATCAGTGTTTTGTAGTTTTCATTGCAGAGATCTTTCACTTCTTTGATGTAAATTTATTCCTAAGTATTTTACTTGTAGCTATTATAAATGGTATTATATTCTTGATGTCTTTTTCAGATTGTTCACTGCTGGCATATAGAGATGCTATTTTTTTGTATGTTAACTTTATATCCTGCAACTTTATTGAATTTCTCAGTTCTAATAATTTTTGTTGGAGTCTTTAGCTTTTTACGAATATAAGACTATATCATCTGCAAACAAGGATAATTTGATTTTTCCTTTCCAATTGGATACCATTTATTTCTTCCTCTTGTCTGATTGTTCTAGCTAAGACTTAAAGTACTACGTTCAACAATAGTGGTACAAGTGGGCATCCTTGTCTTGTTCCAAATCTTAGAGGACTTTCCATTTTTTTCTCTTCAGCATGATACTAGCTATAGGTTTGTCATATGTGGCTTTTCCTTCTATATCCAGTTTTTTTAGGCATTTTCTCACAAAGTAATGTTGAATTTTATCAAATATTATCTCATAGCTCCTTTGAGTCAGGAATTCAGACAGGGGAAAGTAGATATGGCTTGTCTCTATGATATCTGGGGCCTTAGCCAGAAGACTAGAAGTCTAGGGTTGGAATCCACTCACACACCTAATGGCTGATGTTGTATCAAGTGGGAGCCTAGCTGGATCTTTGGGGTGGAACACCCTATGGAGAAGCCTGGGCCTGGGCTTTTTCACAATATGGTAGCTGGATTCCAAAGAAGAGCCTCCTGAGACAGCCAGACAGAAACTGTCAACATTTTATAACCAAGCCTCAAAGTTACACACATCACTTATGCCAGACTCTATTCGTTGGTTCTATCACAAGCCTGGTCCCAGATTCAAGGTGCAGTAACAAACATACACCCCATCTTACCCTGGGAACACAGTTAATCACCCTGAAGGAGTATATGAGGAATGGAATGTACATATAGGCATGACTATCTTTAAAAAATACATAATCTGCCACACACAGTATGCATAAAGCTGAATTTGTGTTGCCTCCAAAGCTGTTCCACCTCCTTTGTTTTCTACACCAGTGAACAAAAGCAGTATTACAAATCACACTTGAGCCTATGCAACCTTATGGACCATACAACTTCATGGGCTTTTAACTACAATTTCTTTCAACTACTCACATCCATCCTTTCTCTTTCTCTTAAACCACTCCCCCAACACACACACACACACACACACACACACACACACACACACACACACACACTTCTTTGGTTCCCTACTTTCCCTGGCTAACCTCTACAAATCTTTCAGTTTATAGCATAAATGTCAATTCCTCTAGGAAGCTTTCTTGGATCCACCTAAGCTTCTGTCAGGCCTCTTTATCTGTTCTCCCAATGCATCCTGTATCAGCTACCCACTGCTACATAACAAACAACAGCAAAACCTAGTGTTTGAAACAATTACCACTTATTATTTGTGGGCTTATGGCTGGGTAGAAGGCTCTGCTGATCTGGGCTGGGCTTGTCTCAACTCGGCTCATCTATGCAGCTACAGTAAGCTGAGAGATATCTGGTGGCTGATCATGGCTGGGCTCTTTGACAGGTCCAGGGGCCGTGGCTGAAAAAACTGGGCTTACTTGGATTCATAGGATTTCTCATCCTCCAGGAGATAAAATATGTATCTCATAAAATAGTCTCCAACAATTAAAAAGAGTTAAATACTGATACAGGCTAAAACACAGATGAATCTTGAAAACTTTATGCTATGTGAAAGAGGCCAGATCGAAAAGGTTACATATTGTATAAATCCAATTGTATGAAATGTATGGCTTTTTTTGCATGTCACAGGCAGGATCTAAAGAACACACAAAAGTGCTCAAGGCCTCTTGAAGTCTAAACTCAGAACCACACGCCGTCACTTCTACCACATTCTATCAGTGAAAATAAACCAAAATGCCAGCCCTGATAAAGAATAAAAGGAGCCTCCAATGTCACAAGGAAAAGAATATAGACACAGGATTGTTACTAAGGTAATCAACCCACCAACCCCTTGTTGTTTCTTCCACATAGAGAGTACATACTAACTCCATGTGATGGCCCTCCTAATAAAATACATCCTCCGTGGACACCATTTATGTCATATGTCATGTCTCATTTGCAATGAATCTGCACACTCACTTAATAAATACTGCACTTACAGCGAATAAATACGTTTGCTTATCTAGCTATTAGTGCTACAGTAAAGAAAAATACCACTGGCCAGGTGCAAAGGTTCATGCCTGTAATCCTAACACTTTAGGAGGCAGTGGCAGTTGGATTGGTTGAGCCCAAGAGATCAAGACCAGCCTGGGCAGTGTGGTGCAATCTCATAAGATTTGTTGTATTTTAAATAGAATTATTTTTCTATTTCCTAAAATAGAAACAAATTAGCCGGGCACAATGGCATGCACCTGTCCCAACTACTTGGAAGGCTGACATGAAAGGATCACTTGAGCCCAGAAATTCAATGCTGCAGTGAGCCATGGTTGCAGCACTGGTCTCCAACCTGCGAGACTTAGAACAAGACCCTGTCTCAAAAATAAACAAACAACCAAAAACTAAAAATGAAAAAACACCCAAAAAAAAGAAACAACTGATATCTCAATAATAAATGTCATTAAGTCAAAGCTACAATGTTTAGATACTTTCTGAATCAGCAACACTATAATAGTAAGGCTAGACCACACAGGAGCCACCACTCTTTGCCCTCGACTTATGGTACCAACACAAAAGAGCTAGTAACTGATAAAACCACATATTAGGTTCTGAGACACGGATGAAGAAAGTGGGGCTCACCTTGGATCCTGGGGTCACCAAGCAGCCTCTCTTTGCTCATAAGACAAAAATCAGAAGCAATTCATATATGGTTAAATTGCTTTTTTGAGCACTCTGGATATTTTATCTGTTTGTTTTATGTTTCTCTCTGATTATAGATCTTTTATTCTTTTTAATATTTTATTTAACTTTTTTTTTTTAATTTTTTATTGGATTTTAGGTTTTGGGGTACATGAGCAGAGCATGCAAGACAGTTGCGTAGATACACACATGGCAGTGTGCTTTGCTTTTCTTCTCCCCTTCACCCACATTTGGCATTTCTCCCCAGGCTATCCCTCCCCACCTCCCCCTCCCACTGGCCCTCCCCTTTTCCCCCCAATAGACCCCTGTGTTTAGTACTCCCCTTTCTGTGTCCATGTGTTCTCATTTTTCATCACCCACCTATGAGTGAGAATATGCGGTGTTTCATTTTCTGTTCTTGTGTCAGTTTGCTGAGGATGATGTTCTCCAGATTCATCCATGTCCCTACAAATGACACAAACTCATCATTTCTGATTGCTGCATAATATTCCATGGTGTATATGTGCCACATTTTTCCAATCCAGTCTATTATCAATGGGCATTTTGGTTGATTCCAGGTCTTTGCTATTGTAAACAGTGCTGCAATGAACATTCGTGTACATGTGTCCTTATAGTAGAACGATTTATAGTCTTTTGGACATATACCCAGTAATAGGATTGCTGGGTCAAATGGAATTTCTATTTCTAAGGCCTTGAGGAATCGCCACACTGTCTTCCACAATGGTTGAACTAATTTACACTCCCACCAACAGTGTAAAAGTGTTCCTTTTTCTCCACATCCTCTCCAGCATCTGTTGTCTCCAGATTTTTTAATGATCGCCATTCTAACTGGCGTGAGATGGTATCTCAATGTGGTTTTGATTTGCATCTCTCTTATGTTATTTAACTTTTTTAGAGGCATAACCTCACTCTGTCACCCAGTCTGGAGTGCCACGGTGTATTCATAGCTCACTGCACCCTCTCACTCCTGGGTACAAGCAATCCTCCCACATCAGCTTCCTAAGTAGATGGGACTACAGGCATGCACAACCTGGCTAATTTTTTAAATAACAGCCTTATAATTTATGTACCACAAAGAACACGGTTTTACAAAGTACTCACTTCAATGGTTTTTAGTATAATCACAGAGTTTCTCATTAATCATCACTCTAATTTCAGAGATTTTCATCGCCCCAAAAAGAAACCTCATACCCATGAGAAAACACTTCCCATTCCCTCCTCCAAACATTCTCTCTTCAGCCCGTGAAAACCACAATTTCTTTTTCTGTCTCTGTGGATTTGTATATTCTGGACATTTCATACTATTGGATTTATACAATATGACCTTCGCATCTGGCTTTTTTCGCTTACCATAAAGTTTTCAAGATTCATCTATCAGTATTTACCTCTTTTTAGTAGTGGGAGAATATTTTATTGGAACCACTTTTTTAATTCATTCACACTTGATGGACATTTGGGTTGCTTCCATTTTTGCTTATTATGAGTCATGCTGCTATGAACATTTGCATGCAAGTTTTTATGTGGAAATATGTTTCCAGTTTCTTTAGGGTGTATACTTAGGATTGGAATTGCTGGTTCATTTGGTAACTCTATGTTTAACTCTTTAAGGAACTGCCAAAGTGGCCGTGCCACTTTATATATCCAGCAAGGTATGAAGCTTTTAATCTCTCCATAGTCTTGCTCACACTTGTTTTTTATCTTTTTGATTATTAATATCCTAGTGGATGTGGAATAATATCTCACTGTGACTTTCGTTTGCATTTCTCTACTAAGGTTTGTAGCTTGACCATATGTATATCTTCTTTAGCAAAATGTCTGTTCAAATCTTTTGCCCATTTTTAATTGGTTGAATATTCATTTTTAAATCTAGGTCGCATTTCTTGATTTTTGTCCTCTCATAATTTTGTGACTGTCCATCACAAAACCTTGTCTTAGGAAGGATCTTTCAATTATTTTTTTTTCCTGAGGCTACTGAATAGCTGTAGGTTACTTAGGAAATTGTTCTGGTTGTTTCTATGTGAATCCAGAAAGCCATTTGTCTGTTTATTGTTTTACTAAATGTCAAATGTTTGTTTATTTCCCCAGGGTTCTCTTTCTTCTAAAATTAGAGTTCAAAAAAAGTCTGATAAATGTAAGTTGTATTTACTCGGATCCAGTAAATTTCTTACAGAAAAAGAAATGTATTTATTAAGGACGAGTGATAGTTTGAATATTGCAATGACAGTCTTAGCCACACAGACTTAAAAAGTTGAAGCAAATTACATAACACATTTTCCAACTGATGCTGTCAAGAAATTCGATGTGTCAATAAGAAACACACCAGTAACAAAGGAAGACAAATTACCAATTAAACTATGACTCCTCATCAAACATAAAGGCATCCAGTTCAATTTCAGGAAGTTCAAAGGCAAAAGTATATCTTGGAATCAATGATATATCATAATTTTCTTTCTTTCTTTTTTTACTTCCAAAAACCTATCTCTTCTATAAGAATCTATGGTTATATATTAATTTATTTAAAACCAATAAAAAAGTACTATCTCCAGGCAGCATTGTATTCAAAGTAAAAATAGCCCAACACCAGAAAAATAGTTGAAAAGCAGAGATAAGTCTGTATTAAACTTGCTATAAAAAGTGCCCAAGTAAGATTTGATTCGTAATGCACCACACAGTCTCTTAAAGCTGCTGTCCTTCCCTTGTTGTCTCTCTCATGATTGTCACCGATAAAGAAAATGCCACCCAAATCACCCTTAAAACCCAGTCTGTGCAGCTCCCCTGCTCCCTCTTCTCCCCTCACCCTCATCTCTGGATTTACTCTAATTTTTTTAATCTTTGCATGAATCATTTAATTTTTCCAATGTGAATCATTGTATTCTTTCTGAATGCTCTGGTGTTGCTTCATTCAGCCTTCCAAAAGCTCGCAAATAAAGCAGACAAAATAGAATTATCTTTATGCTGGGAGAGGCTACAGCTCCACCTTCATTAACATGTTTTCCAGCAATATATTCAATCGACACATATTTAATAAACACCTACTATATTCTAAGCATTGATTCTGCCGTAGGCTCGGTCAGATTTAAAGTGCATGTTCCTAGGTAATTATATCTTGAAGTCCACCCTCTGTGTCTCTACTCTGTATAGGATACTCTGTATCCTAACATGGTTTGACAGAAGGAAGGGTCTATTTCTCTTTTCTCACAGCTGGGTTAATGCTGTACAAGTATGCACGCTTGCATTCACACACACACACACACACACACACACACACAGACACACACACAAACCCCTGATAGTGGCAGAGGGTCTTCAGCATCGAATGGCATTTACCATCTTTTTGTCCTCACTTGCAACTTACATGCAGCAACGGCCACCCCACGATTTAGAACCTAGAATATAACCCAAGAGACAGTTTATGAGTTCAAGTTGTTTATTTGGGAGATGAATTTGTACTAAAATCTCTATTAAAAATGCCAAATTAGGATTGATTCACAACACATTACGAAGTGTTTCCTTTCCCCATTTTTTCATGTCCCTGTTTATGATTGTTATATAGACCAGCCCCTAAAATTTCCCTCAATTCCCAGTTGATTTATTCTATTTTCTTTCTCTTTTCACTGTGAACAAAAGAGCTCAAGCCCCACAGCCAAGCTCAGAAGGCCTTAGGTGCACCCCTCACAGTTAATTCACCAAAACATGAAGAAGCTAGGACATATACCCACCAATTCCCATCACTCATTGGTTGAGGCTTTCTGCTGAGGCACTAGCTCCTTAACACTTCCAACTTGTGCAATCTATTAGCCAAGGATTCTCCTGTGGCCAGAAAGCATCCTCAGGCAGAAATTAAAAAACTTTTTATGTGAATAGAGATTTTTCCCAAACGATCTCTGAAGAAGGCTAAGGGCTACATCCTAACACTCAACATGTCAAGAAAGGTTACATTCCATCTGTAAGTAACATACACAGAAGAGTCAGGTAAACTGATTTCCATAAAACTACCTATGCACTAGGAATTACAGATCTTTAACTGTCAAACCTCAAGGCACCCCCTTGCCTAACTCTGAGACTTATGTGAGAACATAATTAAAGCTTGACTCATCCTCAAATGGAAGGACCCAGGAACAAAGCCTATGCCAGCCCTAGAATTGGGCTTAGAAACATTTGGGCCAGGAATTCTAGGGTGCTGGATGTAGTCTAAAAAGTGTATGTTGCTTTCAGTTCGGCATATGCTGTAGGCCCAACAGATTTCTCCTTGTGTAGGAGACACAACCAGGAAAAGGCCAGAGTTAAGACCTCTAAAGCATGAGACCCAAGGCAAGCACTTCTCTTGCCTAGATCCAGGACAGTACTGTTTCCAAACATACGCTGCTGGATAATTTCAAAAATATTAAATAATGTAGTATTGTCCCTATTTTATATGGTTTGGATGTTTGTTCTATCCAAATCTCATGTTGAAATGTGATTCTCAATGTTGGAGGTGAGGCCTGGTGGGAGGTGATTGAATCACTGGGGTAGATTCCTCATAAATGGTTTAGCGCCATCCCCTTTGTGATAAGTGAGTTCTTGCTCAGTTAGTTCACATCTGACCTGGTTGTCGAAATGTCCGAGACCTCCTTTCTCTCTCTGTCTCTTGCTCCCATTCTGATCATGTGACATGCTGGCTTTCCCTTTGCCTTCCACCATGAGTAAGAGCTCCCTGTGGCCGTCAACGGAAGCTGAGCAGATGCCAGCACTATTCTTCCTGTACAGCCTGTCAAACTGTGAGCTAATTAAACCTCAGTTTTTAAAAATCAATTGCCCAGCCTCAGGTATTTCTTTACAGCAGCTCAAGAATAGACTAATATACCATCTGATCTTTCATTTACTCAAAAGTCAAGCCTTTCTGTGTTCCATGCCTCAGAGAATAAAAGCAGTAAGGTGGAAAGCTGAAAGTTTGTGAATCTCTTCCTGTCTTTTCTCATTCAAAAGTCTAAACACTCAGAGGAATGGAAAGGATTCCAGTTATGGACAAAGTGTTGAGAGAAATCATGAAGCAAAACAACCTCTGCCTGATCTGGGAAAAATAAACAGACATGGAGGATGTATCAAAAATATAAGTGTGAGAGGTTCCTGAGAAAGGAATTTAGCCTCTTCATGCAAAACACCGAAGAAAGAATGAGACCCCAGAGGGACCACAGTCAACCTTAGCAAGTTGTACTCAGGCAGCTTGAATAAATTCCTATATTCTAATGTGGCATGGAAACAACAAAAACATTCCAGGATTCCCAAGGCTGAAACAGACAAAGCAGTGAGAACTATTGAATTTAAATGGACTAGGAGGACAGCACCAAGGTAGGGTGGTGGATGTCTCAGTAGAGGCTGCAAAGAAAGATGACATTGACGTTCTCCTTCTGGCATATCTTGGCACTATGTAAGGCTCTTGGAATTTAGCTACAACTGCAAACAGTGAGTTTTTCTTAGCAGATGGGCACTAAAAAAATTAATTATTGAGTATATAAAAACAGCCTACCAAAGGCTTCTGAATTCATGAAGATAGTCATTTATACCCAAAATGACTGAGCTTATCCAAAATGTCCTTTAAGACCTAATGGAATACACACCTATATGACATAAAAGATAAAAGATTGTTCCACTGGCCAACTATGATGGAGAAGGAGCTGCCTTAGAGATTCCCATGATGACCACTGATTTTTCTACTCATTGCTTAAAACCTTGCTGATAATGGTTTCTTAAATTCCCAAATTTGCCCTTCTTCTGCTTCTAAGACTTGGACATACCTGAATATTTACCTTAATGTGCTTAATGCCATACACTGTCCTTTCTATTCCAATGGCCCATAGTGGTCTGTCGTCCAGTATATTGAATTATTCTACTTATCATATGTTGGAATCTAATGCTGAGGAAAGAAAGCCATTGTTTATGTTGTTTGTCTTATTTACTGTCTGTCTAAACACTACCTAATGCAAATGGAGATTAGATAACCACTTATATTAAATTAGCTATTCCAGCTGTTCATGGCTTCTCAAATCCTCTCTGCTTTTGGCAAGTTCTTTCTTATGTCATTCAGCACATTAACTTTATAATGACCTCTGAGAAAGCTACCATTTTCAGTGAACTTACTAGTTCTCATTTCTTCCAAATTATCTTCCAGTTTAATGATTCTCTTTTCAGCTGTGTCTAATCTGCTAAGTCTATCTATTGAATTATTTGCTTTTTATTTCAGTTATTGCATATTTTTATTCCTAGGTGTTTCTTCCGGTATTCTTTTAGAAGTGCTAGATCACTTTTCATAATTTTCTGTTCCCTGAAAATTATTTCTACTTATCTTTTTTTCTTTATGCATGGTATGATGTTTTATAAATGTCAACTTCACAGGTTAGTTTATACTGGTTCTTGCTTGGAGTGCTTTATTTTCTTGTGTGTTTTTTACTGAGTAGTACTTATTTTCCTTGAAAAATTATTTATAGCCATTCTCTGTGACCCAGGATGGAAGTGCCTTCTGACAGAAAGAATTTGTTTGTTTCTACATTGTGCCTGGAAGAGTAGCTAATCTATATCTCTTTAGTGTTTGCTTATGTTTGATTTGGTTTGGTTTCTTAATGTCTCTAAACCACTAAGGAATACAATATCTCATTTTAAGAATAAGATTTCTTGTGAGGCCAGTTTTGTAGATAAAACCTTTTTGGGAAACTTTTTCCCTGGCTAAGAATCAGCAAAAGTTTCTTTGCAGGCCCTATCATAAAGACAGTGTTAACATTACTTCTAATTTTTCTTTATCCTAATTTTGAACCCTTTGGGGCACCAGCTTAATGGTCAAATGACCTCCTATTAGACTTTCTGATCTAAATTAACTCAGACTTTCATTTTTATCTGTCCCATGGGGCCATCAAAATTGAAGTTCAAATTTGCCAGGATTGGTATACAATGGCTTTGGTGTTCTACTTACCTCTCTGGATTCTAGATTCCTCTTAGAGTTTGGCCTGATAATTACATGCTATCTGTCATGTTCATTATTTTTAAGAAAAGGTTTTGTTTTCTATTTTACTTAGTATTTTAGTTGTCTCAGAAGAGTTACTCAGTTCCTACTGGGCATATTTGAACATTTTTAACTATTTTTTTCTGAAAAACACTTTCAGTGTTACCCAGACCTAGCCCTGCATCTGGCTTAACATGAAATTTTTACTCCTAATCTCCTGGGGAAAGTAGACAATCAAAGTATAAAAGTGAAGTGGTTCATTTGTTGTTTGGGGACACTCCATAGCCTCACACTCATAGCAATTAGATAGAAAAATATCAGGTAGGGATGGCAAAACCTTCATCTATAATCTAAAGACCTTCAAGTTGTCAAATGTATGTATGATAGCCTTGTAAGCTAAATTTAGCACCCAGAGCTCTAGTTTCTCTCTAAGATGTGTAAAAACTCATCTAGCCTGACAGTTCCCTGTTGGCTGCACCTCTGAGAAGTCAATTATTCTCAACAATACCAATTTTAATTTATGTACCCTAAATTACTCCTGAATTTCTATGTGTTTTTTAATAGAAGGTATAATACAGAATTTAAGCACTAATGGCTTTCTGGACAGTGATATGAAGTCTGACCCTGAATCATCAAATTGCCTAAGGAAATAGATGTTTTGATTACATTATATTTTTCACTAAGAAATCAGTATAAGATCAATTATTCTTTATTTTATCCCCAGGGCTTATAGTAGCACTGGGCCAGGCACAATTAATGACAATTAATAAAGGTTGAATAAATTAATTAACCTGTGGTAGATTGATTGCAAAAAATGCAACTAATTCTTCACAGTCTTCCTGTAATTTTGTAATGTGACTTTGCAGATCCTGCCGTGAAGAGGCTATGTCTCTTCTCTATCCCTGAGTCTGGGCTCATCTTAAGATAGACCTTGGCTAAGAGAGTGAGTTACTCTATTATTCTAAGTCCCAGATTAGGCCTTTTTTTTTTGGAATCTTGTCACCACCATGACAACAGGTCTTTGCTACCCTGCTGGAGGAGAAGGTAGAGTTGACCTCATTTTTCCAGCTGAAGGACCTAATATATGATAGAGCCCAACCAGGATCAGTTCAGCCCGCCAGCCAAGCAGCAGATGACAGCCCCGCTGGGCAAGCCCCCAGCTAAGGAAGCAGAGCTGGACCAAAGCAGCAGAACTTTCAAGCCAATCTGCAAACTTGTAAGCATTCATGAATGACTTCTGGTTTTAGCTGCTAAATTGTGGAGTGGTTGTTATGTAGCAGTAACTAACTTGCACAAAATCATTGTTACAAACCCTCCTAGGGGTGTTTCAGAAGAAAGGACACCAGGTTGGGAACAAAAAGTCTTCAATTCCAGTTCATACTCTGCCATGAATTTGCTGGTCTTGCACAAAATATGCCCTCTCTGTGCCTTAGATTTGAGATTCCTTTGAGTTCTAATCTTATTTTTCATGTGGAATCTCCCAAAATTTTTTACTCTGCATTCCTACCATCCCTCATGATATAGTGAGAGAAAGTTGATTTTTTTTTTTGTATACTTGAGCATTTACTGAGTCTCCAAGGAATTTGCTTGCACATTAAGTATTAGAAATTCTAGAAAATTGAGCTGATGTATTCCTAATCGAAGCCTTCTCTAAAAGCATATTTTTAGAACAAAGCCTTATTGGGAGCTTTCTGTGATTTGTGTTTTCTTTCGTTTTTGTTATGTTATTCTGAAAGTAGAAGTCAAACAAACAAAATCTATTAAAATAAACATCCTTGTTAATCAAGGCTTTAGTGAACTTTGTTCTTTATCAACATCCTAAAGAGGAACACAAAAACAGCGATTTAATAATGGAACAAAAATATCACTCAAAAAAAAAGAAAGAAAGCACTCCAATATCCATCTGATTTTTACTAATTGTTTATATTATTGGAGTAGAGATAATTGGGCCTCATAGCTCTCAATTCTGAAAAGTATAATGGATTCATATATAATGGACTCAAGCACACAAATCTGTGTTTATACAAGGGGAGTCCATGTGACAAAGCTTCTTAATAGCGGAGATTAGGAATCTCTTAGAGATTCTGATGAAAACTAAGAAACTTGATTCAGAAAATCACACATATGTAAACATTCACATAGTAGACTTTTTCATGCTTTTTGCCTCCTCGGCACTTTATAAACACTGTTTTTTATTTTTATTTTTTTGAGATGGAGTCTCACTCTGTCGTCCAGATTGGAGCACAGTGGCACAATCCCAGCTCACTGCAACCTCTGCCTCTCAGGTTCAAGTGATTCTCCTCCCTCAGCTTCCTGAGTAGCTAGGATTATAGGCCTGTATCACCAAGCCCAGCTAATTTTTGTATTTTTGGTAGAGACAGGTTTTTACCATGTTAGCCAGGCTGGTTCTCGAACTCCCAATCTCAGGTGATCTGCTTGCCTCAGCCTCCCAAAGTGCAGGAATTACAGGCATGAGCCACCATGCCGGGCCTAAACATTGTTCTTATGTTTGAGAATTGTTCCCCTGTATTAATCTGCATACCTCCAGAGTAGAAACTAAAAATTCACTTCCCATGTTTGCATCTATGGCACAGACACGTAGTCCAGGATCAACTATTCAGGTAGATACACATAAGACAGCTATTTGAGGCTGGGTGTAATGGCTCACGCCTGTAATCCAAGCACTTTGGAGGATAAGGCGGGCGGATGACCTGAGGTCAGGAGTTCAAGACCAGCCTGACCAACATGGCAAAACCCCATCTTAAATAAATAAATAAATAAATAAATAAAATAAACAGCTATTTGAAAGCAAATGATATTCAGAAGCATGTACTCACAGATCCACTCTGGCTAGGATGAAGATAAAGACATTGAGATTTCAGACACAGCACTGAGTGGACAGAGGTACTGATAAATCATGGTGCATGGCAGCTAAGTGAGGTGCAGCGACTCTGTCCAGGAGTTGGGGCATCAGAGTATTCCCTGAAGCACTGTGCAGCGTAACTTTGGAGGTGTCCCTAGCTGTGCAACTTTCAAGCCTGATTCTTAGACCCTTTCAGAGTTGCTGGGAGTCATCTGATGCCCTTCAATAAATGCTTAAACAATGTCTGCAACAGAGAACTCTGACCAATATACGCATATCACAAAAACATATCTGCACATAGTTTCAAGATTTTTACAAAAAACTTCTGAAGACCATGCATGGCATAGCTCTCAGAATACACAGATGCTCATACGTTATATTGTCAGGTAGAGAGGTGATGGGGGATGAGGTAGTATAAGGTTTCTTGGTACAGAAGAACTAACTTTCAATAGAGTAAGCAGTCTTGGTCCTAATCTTGGCTTTGCTATGTTTTACCTAGTCATTGAGCACTAAGAGGTGTCTATGTCCCCTGTCCTGAATCTGGGCAAGATTGTGACCATTAGAATAAGGTGACAGTGGTGCTGTGTGGCTTCCAAAGCTAAATCAAACAAGGCAACAGATACAGCTTCTGCCTTGGAGCTTGGGACACCCTGAGCAACCATACAAGAAACCTGACTACCCAGGGGCCTCTATTCCGTGAGCAAGCCCAGATCATACAGAGCAGCCATGTGAGGTGCCCCAGTTGAGAGACCCAGCTGAGGTCTCAGCTGAAAGCCCGTAACAACTGCCATACACAACTCTATAAGTTATCTTGCAAATTGATATATGAGCCCAGGACATCAGGTATCACCCAGGAAAACCAATGTATGATCATGCTTTTGAGCGTCTACTCTGAGCTAAGCAATTGTGCCTTCTTTTACTTCTGTAAACTCCTTAAAATGAGGTGAAGGGTTGTTGAGCTAGTAGATGCCACAAATCTCAGTGCCTGCAAGGTTAAGGCAAGTAACAAAACCACATGAGACAGCTGGATTTGAGTAACAGAACATGGCAAGGACTTCAGTAAACTGAGAAGCGCACACCGAGTTTAGAGGGAACAGACAGTCAGCTCTCATATGTATTATCAGAATACAATGCAGGCACAGTATTTCCCTTGGCTTACATTCAGGTTTTCTCCCTCTGTGTTTTTTCTGAGATTCAGGCAGAAGGATCAGCATCTATCCAGCAGCAACTCTCCTCACAGCAGATCACCAGAATGCCAGAGCCAAGCCTAACTGCACAAGTTCCACTATGGCCTCTGCCTCACATCTGCTAATATATCATTGACCAAATATGGATTTTTTTTTTAAAGAAGTTAAAAATATACATTTTTCCATTTAAACTTATAACTTTCTAGACACTTTTTAAGGTAGTGTTTACGGGTTGGAGGATTTCAGTGGACTCTCCAAGCTACTAGGGCAAAATCAATTAATGTAAGTACCCCAAGGCCATGCTTAGGTGTCTGCTAATCCTGGCTCTCCAGCAGGGGACAGCTGTCATTTTTGTTAGAGGGTAGAACACTTTGTATCCAAAGCCACTCTTTTGACTCAGAGTTCTAGATTTAAGATAATTAACGCTCCCCCACTCCCCGCCTTTTTAAAAATTTTGTGTAAAGTTTTAAACTATCGTGTTCTGTTATATAAATGTCCACCCGGGTGCAGGAAAAAAAACATAGCAATCATTAACTCTATTAGTCAGCCATTGTTGTAAAAATGTTATGTAACAAATATCCAAATAACTTACAACAATTCTTAATATCACATTTTATTTTGGGGGGCTGGCTAATCTAGGCTGGGCTCAGCTGAATGGTTGTGCTTTAGGCTGTGACACAGCTAAACTATGGCTTACATTCAGGTCCTCTCCCTCTGTGTTTTTTTTGCTGAGATTCGGGTAGAAGGAGCAGCATCTATCCAGCAGCAGCTCTCCTCACAGCAGGATACAAGAGCCAAGCCTAACTGCACAAGTTCCACTGAGGCCTCTGTTTGCCTAGCATCTGCTAACATATCATTGAGCAAAGCAAGTCACAAGGCCAAGCACACGCTCAAAGGACAAGAAGGACACTCCACCAGCAATAGAAAGGGGAAAGAAGTGAATGATTACTGAAATTAACCCCAACTCTCATATCCTAGAGGTCTTTTTGAAAAGCTGAGTTCCTTTCTAAATCAGCCCCAAACAACCTCTCTCTGAGGCCCCACTGGCTACCCCTGGAGCTGCTGAACTCTGTGGATTCTTGGACATCACCCCAAGTGGATTTTGGCCTGCCATGAGTGAAACACGGGGTGAGTGGTAGCCAATGCAGAAGATTTGGAACTCTCAGGACAAGTGCTCTAAATTAGGAACAAAGCATTCCACGGACTACGTCAAAACTTTAAAAATAAGCCTTGCTCCATACACAGCTAATGACCTTGCTGAACACATTTTAAAAATGCCTCATTTAAGATGTTTAAGTAATTACTGAGGAGCAGTGACCTTAAGGTTTTTCCATCCCATCTGTGCCCTGCCTCTCAGGCCTCTCTTTCCCTTCATTGCCATGGGTCCTGGTTCCCATGCAGGCTGTTCTAATGTAAGACAGCAATCTAATGTAAGAAATCTACAAGTCAATGGTGACTTTGGGTGGTTTCTTCACTAAGAATATTGCTTTATTTACTCTGCTCTTTCGATGCCTTCTAAGGACAAAGAAGCCAACTACTGTCACAGAGAGTATTTCTTTAAGGCTGAGCCACAGGGGACCAGGGGATAGAGAATACCTAAAATACTCTCTGACCACAAACCCCTTTAAAATATCCTTTTCTAAAAGAACAATGGAACAAGGTGAACATCCTGCAGATTCAAGCCTGGGTAAATCAAAAAGCCCCACATGTTACCTGATGTTATGTAGGAGGTGAAAACCAGGGTGCATGAAAACCTAGGAAGTAGATATTAATCAGAAGTGGACTGAGATAGGGGATGGACTGATCCAGGATTCTAGACTTCTTATTTGCTGTGTAACTCAAGATAATTGGACTACCTCATGGTCAATCTTGGTACATGGTTACATTCCAAGGAAACACATGTCTCATCAAACAAACTCACCAAGAAATATGAAAATCTTCCATGAAGACTCAGAGATGTCAACGATGGAGGCAAATTTTATTGCATAACACAACACACTCTGTTAAAATGCACACTTGGAATGAAGAGACACCCCAAACAGGCTTTGCCTGAGCAACATGGTTGTTTATACACCTGGGTGCAGGTAGGCTGAGGCCAAAAAAGGTGTCAGCGAAGGGCAGTGGGACAGGAGTTGGTTTTATAGGTTGGGGCAAATCTTTTGGGGGGGCAGGGGTGTTAGGAGTAAGATCAGTTACAGTGGTGGAGGTAGGGGCAAGGAGTATACATTACCATAAGTTCAGTTACAATGGCAGGTGGGGAAAGGTGTAAAAGTAGTTAAGATGGTAGGGTGGGGCGGAGGGATATGGTGGCGGAGGGATACTCACACAGCAAGAACAGTTAAGATGGCCGGGTGGGGTGAGAAGCTCGATGTCCATGGAAGCTCCGCTGGGCAATCAGGGATAATGGCAAATGCAGGCGGGGGAGGTAGGGGAAGCCGGGTGGGGGGCAGTGGTGTGATCAGAGTGGCACGCGGGACTTTAGACTTTCTGGGTCTGCCTGACAGTGATTTGCCTGCCTTGGTATTCCAGAGTGCTGGGATTATAGGCGTGAGTAACCACGCCGGCCTGAGATAGGATTTTTTTAATTCCTGTTTTTACGGTTGAAGAATAAATGTTCATAAAAACAAAGTAACTTGTCCAAATGCAAACAGCAGTTAAGTGATGGGATTGGGGTTTGAATCAAAGGCTTTAGGCCTCAATTCTGTTTTTTTAACTGGAACATGGCTGTGAATACAATGTCCAACCAGAGGAGCTCTGGACCCAATGTGAGAGCAAGTGCTTGTCTGAGGTATGGAAATTGACCCAAGCAAGTGTAACCAAGGCGTACATTCTACTAATACATATTGACCGACTCTCTACTCTTGTGTATTTGTTTAGATCCCAGGTTGCTCTTTTTTTCCTTTTCTTTCTTTTTTTTTTTTTTAAGAGACAGGGAGTCTTGCTCTGTTGCCCAGGCTGAAGTGCAGTGGTGCAATCATTGCTCACTGTGGCCTCTACTTCCTGGTCTCAAGTGAGCATCCTACCTTAGCCTCTTGAGTACCTAGGAGTCATGCACCAACATACCCAGCTAAGTATTTTATTTCTGGTAGAGAAAAGGTCTTGCTGTGCTGTTCAGGCTGGTCTCAAACTCCTGGCCTCAAGCAATCCTTCTGCGTTGGCCTCCCTATGTGTTGGGTCTACAGGTGTTAGCTGTTGCATTTGGCCCCAGGTCTTTTTTAAAAAATGATTTTTGGAGAAACAAATGGGAAAAATGGAAAGAAATAAATTTGAGTAAATAGTTGCTGTCAGATGTAGGACTTCAAGAAGATAGGGAAAAGGAGTGCATCAGGCCTCCATGTGCAAGCCCAGACCCAAAAAGTATGAAGTCCTGCCTGCCTCAGCTGATCACCTCCCCCCTTGCCCCCACCACCATTCGCCATTATCCCTGATTGTCCAGCGGAACTTCCCCAGGACATTGAGCCCATCGAGGACACCCTTTTCAGCCTCAGCCCACCTGCACCCAGGTAAATAAAGAGCCATGTTGCTCACACAAAGCCTGTTTGGGGAGTCTCTTCATTCAAAACATGTGTTTTAACAATCACCAGGTCAGGAGTTCAAGACCAGCCTGGTCACTATGGTGAAAACCCGTTTCTACTAAAAATACAAAATAATTAGCCAGGCATGGTGGCACATGCCTGTAATCCCAGGTACTCAGGAGGCTGAGGCAGGAGAATTGCTTGAACCTGAGAGGCAGAGGTTGCAGTGAGCCGAGATCGTGCCACTGCACTCCAGCCTGGACGACAGAGCGAGACTCCATTCCAAAAAAAAATCTACCCAAGTTACTCAAGGTATCATTATCAGGATTAAGTGATATCATGGAAATGAAAGCTGGACACAAGTGGGCACTAGGCAAGCCTGTGTGAATTCTGAACAACAGTGAGGTTTAGAAAGTGCTTTGATCACCTAGATAGGCCAGTTTTTCAAATCTCTCTTTTATTTCTATTCATCCCCTAAAATTATATTAAGGCTTTCTGACTGCTGTGGACTGAATGCTCTACAGCCTGCCACAAATTCACACATTGAAACCTAAATCCCCAATGTGATGGTATTTGGAGGTTAGGACTTCTTTGGGAGGCAATTAGGTCATAAGAGTGGAGCCCTCATAATAGGATTTGTGGCTTTATAAGAAGAGACACGATAGAGATGATTTCTCTCAGCCAATGTGAGAATACAGCAGGAAGGTGCCATTTGCAAACCAGGAAGAGTCCCCTCGCAGACACCAAATCTGCTGGCACCTGGATCCTGGAATCCATCCCAGCCTCCAGAGCTATTAGAAATGAACATTAGCCATTTAAGCCACGCAGTCTATGGTGTTTTATCATAAAAGCGTGAGCTAAGACTGACTCACATAGTGCCAGTCCACTGAAGTGTATTTGAATATCTATAGTAGGACATCCAGTGTTGGTTTCTTTTCCATGTATGATGAAGGCAAGTTAGTTAAAAAGATGATGGAGGATGCGTTGGGTTACCCTAGATGATCTTCTTTCAGGAAAGAACGACAAATCCCCAGGAACCAGGTACCTGTTCTCTGAGATGCTTCCTCCACCCCAGTCCCATTCATACATTTGCCCCATTGGTGGCTTTTATAAACTTTACTGAGCTTTACTTTGTCTCTTCCTGCTTTTATTGACTACTTAAACAGCGCCTAAAACATCTGGTCCCCTGAGAGCTTTTACCAAGCTCTCTGGAGTACAGATTAGATTGTCATTTGTCTAATTTGTTGTCAAATTCAAAAGAAGGTCTTCTAAACTGAGGGGATTCAGGAAGTCACATGGGTTTATCTGTGAGCACCAACTGAGAGAGTAAAGGAGGTTGAGATTAAGCCCTGAGTCATGACGCTGGATTGAAGCTCCTTGGAAGGGATGTCTTCTTCTTAACTCAACTGCCTGGGGAAATGCTTTTTTTTTTTTTTCCGGCGGTTCTCACAAAAGTCCTATAGGTCCAGCTGCAGTCCTGAGGACTTTAGTTCACTTTTTGGTCGTTCATCTGAGAAAATCGAGATTAAATTTATTAGAACTCCTTAGAGGAAAGATATTATTATACGGATAAGATCTATAATTGCTTTCAAGACTTTCCATGGAAATTATTATCTATCCAAGAGAGAAAAATCTCAGCTAATGTCCACAGTCCAAGTTAATATATTGAGTAAAGGGCCTCAGAAAAGGAAAAAGAAATATATGCTATTTAAAAACTACAAAAGTTAGTTTTCACAGGAGATTCAATCTGGTAGGTTGTCAAGAATTGGTGGTTTTATTTCATTCACTTAAGTTATTTAACAAAATGGGACTTTTGACTTCTTCATACTATTAGACATTTTCCTCTATTAAGACAACAGCCATCTGCTGGGGCAATAATTTTTGGTGGGGTATGGTGGTGCACGCCTGTAATCTTAGCACTTTAGGAGGGTAAGGCAGGCAGGAGTTTGACACCAGCCTGGCCAACGTGACAAAACCCTATCCCTACTAAAAATACAAAAATTAGCTGGGTATGGTGGTGTGTGCCTGTAATCCTAGCTATTTGAAAGACTGAGGCACAAGAATTATTTGAACTTGGGAGTGGGAGGTTGCAAGGAGCCGAAATTGAGCCACTGCACTCCAGCCTGGGCAACAGAATGAGACTCTATCTAAAAAATAATAAAATAATAATTATTTCTCATTCTACACCTGCATTATTGACCATTTCAATATATGTTTGTAAACTGAATGTCTTCTCAGGCTTGATAATGAGTCAGACTCTTCTTCAATATAGAAAGAAAACTTCAGTAAAGAGATCTGTTATCAAAGTTGTCATGCTCCTTAGAAATGTATGTTTGCTTCTTACACTAGGTTCTGAATCCCCATATCCCACCACAGAGTGTGGACCTTACCCTGATTCTTTTCCAGTGCCTGATATATGATGGTCACTCTAAATGCTTCCTGTTTTAATGAATGAACAAACTAAAGTTGTGTCGTTACATTGTCTTTCTTTTCAAATCTTGATGTAAAATTCGATCTGTGTTTGTCTGGCAGGAAAGTCTTCTTTAATGTTGGAATTCTTACATAAGTTATAGTATATTCCATATACTGTATAATAGTATATGTTACATATGATTATAACAACATATTATTATCATAACATAGTAAGCAGCATTTCTTGCTGGGTGAAAAATGTTTTATATATACACACGTATTTGAATGTGTTTTGTTTGTTATAGACTCTTAATATATAATACACTGTATAACACACATATATATACATATATATATATGTATATATATATGAAGATTTTCTGTTACTCTATCATGGTCCCTAAAAAATAAATAGCTTTGTCTAGCCATTGTTAGGAACTGGGAAGTAGACAGAATTTCTCATTGCTTTCAATTGATGAGACAGATGTCCCAAATATTGTCTTTCCTGTCCGGGTAGATGTAACACGTAAATGTATGCATTTTAACACAATAAAGATGCTTCTCTAGACCCTTTTTCCTCAAAGTGTGGTCCATGGACATCAGCTGGGGGCTTGATAGAAGGGTAGAATTTTGCCCCTATCCTAGACCTACTGAATCAGAATCCACATTTTAATAACATTCTGGGCTAGAAGAACATAGTTGCACCAAAGTCTGGAGGCCTCCGTGACTGCTCAACTATACCTTGGGAGGTAGTCAATGCTGAAGACCAGGAAGTCCCTACCACCTCTCCCATGTCCTGCATCTTTCTCCTTGAATTTGTAATAGATGGGAGGCCAGCCATTCCTAAACCCATCCCCTTCTCTCAGCACTGTTGACTGGGGCAAAGTATGTGCTTTAAATGGAATGGATAATAAAATATTGACCCTTCATGAATTTGTGAAATGATTTCATCCTATGTTTGTTTTCTGGGCCTGTGAGACTGGGCTCTCTTTCTTAGAATAAAGTCACTATTTATCTTGCTCTATGCTCAACCTTGCACAGACTGCTTATGAACATTTAGTTTTTAGTGTTTTCTAAAGATGCTGATGATAATGATGATGACAGTGATAGTAATGATATGCTAAGAGTGCTTCAAATACCTCCTCCTAATCATTCTCAACAATCTGCTTAGAATTCTAAGTAACCAGTGATTTTCAAACCAAGACCTGCAGAGGCCTAGGCACTGGATCACTGCCAGAAGAGAGGAAGACAGGAGGCAGGATGGCTGAGTGTCATGGCTGACCCACAGGGATTGAGGTTAAGATCCAGAGGATGGGGAGCACAAATCTGAACATTTTTACTTTCATCTGCTGTTACATATTAAAACCTGGAAAAGCCATTTTTTAACTTAAATTTATTTGGACCTAATATGCTCCTATTAAAGCAACCTAGATCACTACTGTGATCTATAATTAGTATATCTTGAAATACCTAGTATTTGTATTTTCTTGGGAAGGAAAGAGAAACATTTAAGAGAATAAAAAATTATATTTTGGCTTGAAGCATATTTTTCTTTTTTTTTGGGGGGGGGAGGAAGGCAGGAAGGAAGGGAAGAAGGACGGTAGGGAGGAAGGAAGGGATGAAGGAAGGAAGGAAGGGAGGAAGCGGGGAGGGAGGGAAGGGAAGAAAGGAAATCAAGCAATGAAAGAGACATTGCCGACCTGGATCTAGAGGTTTACAAGTTGATTTCTTTTTTTTTGAGAGAAGGAAAGAAAAAAAAAATAAGTAAAGGAGAGGAAGAAAGAGGGAGAGTAAATGGAAATATTGCTTTATTTTGAAAAAAATTGGGTATTAATAATGGCCAATCAATGTTTTATTTAAACTAATGGGTAGGTGTGATGTGGTATTGACAAGAATGTATATTTTGTGTATTTGAAGTGGAGAGCTCTATAAATATTGATTAAGTTTACTTGTTCTGGATCTGAGTTCGAGTCCTTGATATCCTTATTAATTTTCTGTCTCATTGAATCTAAGTCTCCTATCTGGGTGTTAGGATCGTTAGCTCTTGTTGTTGCATTGATCCTTTTACCACTATATCTTTGTTGCTTTAAAATCTATTTTATCCGATATAAGAATTGCAACTCCTGCTTTTTATTTATTTATTATTTATTTTTGCTCTCCATTTGGTTGGTAAATCTTTCTCCATCCCTTTGTTTTGAGTCTTTGTGTATCCTTGCATGTGAAACAGGTCTGGATGTAACATGCCGTTGGGTTTTGGCTGTGTCTTTTGATTGGGAATTTAGTCAATTTAAATTTAGGGTTACTGCCATTTGATGTTGACTGGCTGTTTTATCCATTTGTTGGTGTAAATTCTTCTTTATGTTGGTGCTCTTTACTTTTTGGTGTATTTTTAGAAAGGCTAATACTGGTTGTTTCTTTCTGTGTATAATGCTTCTTTCAGAAGCTCTTGTAAAGCAGGCCTGGTGGTAATAAAATCTCTGAGTTCTTGCTTGTTCATAAAAGATTTTATTTTTCCTTCAGTTGTGAAGCTTAGTTTGGCTGGATATGAAATTCTGGGCTGAAGGTTCTGTTCTTTGAGGATGTTGAATATTGGCCCCCACTCTCTTCTGGCCTGTAGAGTTTCTGCCGAGAGATCTGCTGTAAGTCTGATAGGCTTGCCTTTGTGGGTTATCCGACCTTTCTCTCTGGCTGCCCTTAGTATCCTCTCCTTCGTTTCAACCCTGGTGAATCTAACGATTATGTGCCTTGGGGTTGCTCTTCTTGAGGAATATCTTTGTGGTGTTCTCTGTATTACCTGGGGTTGAATGTTGACCTGCTTTGCTAGTTTAGGAAAATTTTCCTGAATAATATCCTGAAGGGTATTTTCCAGCTTGGATTCATTCTCTCCGTCGCATTCAGGTACACCTATCAAACGTAAATTTGGTCTTTTCACATAGTCCCACATTTCTTGGAGACTTTGCTCATTCCTTTTTATCCTTTTTTCTCTAATCTTTTCTTCACGTTTTATTTCATTAACTTGGACTTTGACCTCTGATATCCCTTCTTCTGCTTGAACAATTCGAGTGTTTAAACCTGTGCATACTTCTCGGAGTTCCTGTATTGTATTCTTCAGTTCCATTAATTCACTCATACTCCTCTCTAAGTTGTCTATTCTCAATAGGATTTCATCAAACCTTTTTTCAAAGTTCCTAGTTTCCTTACGTTGGGCTACAACATGTTCTTTTAACTCACCGAAGTTTGTTATTATCCATTCCTTGAAGAGTGATTCTGTCATCAGGAGGCGCTCGTTCTCCATCAAGCCTCGTTCCATTGTTAATGTGGAACTGTGATCATCTTTAGAGGGAGAGGCGTTCTGACTTTGCGTGTTCTCAGCTTTTTTACGCTGGTTTCTTCCCGTCATTGTAAATTTATCCTCCTGTCGTCTTTGAAATTACCAACTTTCAATTAGGTCTCTTGAGTGGCCGTCCAGGTTGTTAGTTCCCAGGGCCAGAGCAGTGGCCTTAAAACTGATGGTGCTTTTCTGCCCAGGATTATCTTGTCGGGCTTCCTTCTTGTTTCCGTAGTAGGCGACTCTGCCTTCCTGGGGCTCCAAACCTCGGTCAGAAGGGGAAGCAGTCCCGTTTACTCTGCTCCGAGAGCTGCCGCGCCGAGGTGCCGGCGGAACCGCTGCGCCGACCACGAGAGTCGCGCTGGCGACCCGTGTGTTTCCACCACTGGGGGATCTTCTGCTCCGTGAGCGACCAGACTTTGTCTGAAAGTGTGGCGTCCTCTAGTTCTCCGCGCCTTCCCTGAGAGCTGCAATCCCGGTATGTTAGCGATCGGCCATCTTGGATCGTTCTCCGAAGCATATTTTTCAATCCATGGAGGTTGATAGACTTTGTTTGCATATTTCAAATTCAGACTTCGGTTTTATTAATATCATGAGATGTTATGATGAGGGAAATCCAATACTGACAACATTTTAAAAGTTTTGAAGGCCTTTCAGAGACTTAAATGAAATATTGGTTGGCTGTTTGTTATTTTCTTCCCTTATTCCTTCCTGTCTCCGCTGTTAAGCACAATTACCAGCATAATAGAGGTTTTTAAAACCTATTTTTAGATTGCATTCCAGCCTGGGCAATAGAGCAAGACTCCCATTCTCTCTCCCCCTTTTTCTTTCTCTTTCTTTCTAAACAAAAAAAAAAAACCTTCTGTCCTCTACCTAGTTATCTCTTTTTTCCCTCTAACCCCTGGCAACCACGAATCTAAAAAAAAAAGTTTTAAAGGCCTTGAATTCTTTGAAAGAACCTGGTACACACAATCAAAAAATATCATGTGGAAGAGTTTCCTTCTATGGATACATTCTGGGCAGGGTGATGAAAATAAAAACATCTTGGAATGTATTAAATTCAGTTTAGTCTGGAGTCAAAGGAATGGGCTAGATACTCATTAGTGACCTGATCTATTACAACAATTCTACAATTCTCAGTTTACTTTTGAATTCCTGAGGTAGAAATCCATTTTAGTTGAGAACTACGAAGCTGGCAAATTAATTGTATTGCCAACAAACCCAAATTTCCAATCTTTCCATTGTCCATTCCTTTTGCCATCATTTCGCTTCCTAATCTTGTCAATCCTTAGAAACACATTGAAATAAGAAGGAACAGAAATTATATTCATTTCAAAAATCTTCCCAGATTATGTGTGTGGCAGACTATATTTTCCAAAGATAACCAGGAGACCTTGTTTCTACAGTGTGATGGTGACACAACTTCCATCTAGTAGGAAAAGAACCTATGTTCTTTTCCCTTGAACCTGGGCAGACCTTTTGTGACTGCCTTGACCAACAGAGAATGGAAGAAGTGACACTGAGATTTTCAAGACCAGGTGGCTGGGCATGGTGACTCACGCCTGTAATCCCAGCACTTTGGGAGGCCAAGGAGGGAGGATCACGAGGTCAAGAGATCAAGACTATCCTGGCCAACATGGTGAAACCCCGTCTCTACCAAAAATACAAAAATTGGCTGGGCATGGTGGTGCACGCCTGTAGTCCCAGCTATTTGGGAGGCTGAGGCAGGAAAATTGCTTGAGCCCAGGAGGTGGACGTTGCAGTGAGTCAAGATCGTGCCACTACACTCCAGCCTGGTGCCTGGCAACAAAGAGAGACCCTGTCTCAAAAAAAGAAAAAAAAAAAAAAAAAGACCAGGTCAATAAATCATGGCACTCACTTCTGCCTTGGTCTCCTTGAACACTAGTTCTTGTGAATGCACCTGCTACGCTCTGAGGAAGGAAGTCCAAGCCATGTGGGTAGACCACACACAGGTATTCCAGCTTACAACCTCAGTGGAGCTTCCAGCCAGCAACCAAGATCTACCACCAGACATATTCCTCAGAGAGCCTTTACATGACTCCAGCATCAGCCACAGTTCAACTACAGCCTACAGAGGAAGAAAAATATCATTTCCTTCTACCCATCTCAGGTTATTGGCTGAAGACCTTTTAAAAGAAGACGGATGAACAAGAGAAAAATATGTACTTTTATGTAATATAAGTTTTACATGTCATGGGAGCCTTCATTAGAAAATGAAGACTGGAGAAAGCAATAAACGTGGGTGTTTGTACAGTAGGTTTGGTGAAGAATGGAAAGTCATGGAGAAATACGACAGGATAAAAAGAAGAGTCTGAACTAACTGGAGAAAACGGCAAGATGTGTTTGTTCAGATTCTTATTGGCATCCCTTATCTTGGAGGTAAAGATGTTCCTTTACTCTGGGTATAGAGAGGGCACCTCTCACATGAGGGTCTTAGGACCTGCTTTAAGGGAGAAGGGTAGGGGAAGGTCAGAGAGACCTTCCTGCACATGCTCTTTCTCAAATTATTTCAGCTTAAAATGTTTAATATGCCTGGAATAGCATGTCACAAACTCCACTGAGCTCTATGACATACCCCACCAAGCTGAACCCCAGTCAATTCTCAGAACCATGAGAGATAAGATGAAAATGCTTAGGGTTGATTTAACCTGTTGGTTTTGGAGTGATTTATTACATAGCAAAAGAAAAGTTAACACTGTGTTAACTAGGGCAGAAGACCCTGTGATCCTGAATGGTCAACTAAATTTTCTTTTCTGAATAATTAATTCATCATTAGAAGTAGATGGTATTAATTTTAGGCCGTAATAGCTTTCATTTCCTAAGGGAGCTGCTGGACTTAGTTTATAAACCAAACACATCATTCTACCCTCAAAACTAGCATCTCTTTCCAACTTTCCTACTGCTGTTAATGACTTCAATTTTCCAAGCACTTCAGGATCATCTCTGACTAGAAATGCCTCCATTTTCAGCATACTAACCACTCAGTTATCAAGATCTTTTGATACTTTATATTTTAAATGTCT